TTATTTCGGAAGATCTACTATAACATTTAACAATGCTTATTAATCAACACCACGATGCTTCATTCGCTTTTGTGGACTGAAATTCTCAGTCCGTTATTTTTTTTTTACGTTATTTATTATCTTTTTTCTACTTAATTTTATCTCTTCGAATAAAATTATTTTATTATTAATCAATACATGTTTCTTCATCATTATATTTCTTAATAATACAGATGGTAGAAAAGATGTTTTGAATGAAATCTGTCACTTTAATTTTAAATGATTGCACAAAACATGTTAATCTTTCATTAAAAATAAATTTTTCAGAATACAGTACTAAAAATATATTGAAATTCTCCTGAATAGTCTTATGTGTAAAATCTATATGTCAGATGTATTAAATATAGTTCACATTAACTATAGTTGTACTTTTTCAATGAAATTACTTTGTTTCTGTTTAAGATGACACTTTGTTTTGTGTATTTTAATATATAAATATAAGCATATAAAACAATAGGTGTTAATTTAATAATGTGCTTTTCTCACTGCTTTAATTTAATTTTAAATGCTTATTAGCTGCCATTTTTTAATTTAGTGGGATACCATTAAGGTTTTATTAGGAAGTAATTCTTGAATTAATTTATTACTTGATAAACAATAATAATAGTAATAATTAGTAAATAATAAATAAAAAATATAATAGCAGAATATCTGACTGTTTCAGAAATTACTTAAATGCATGGACAACATGTACAGTAATAATATCGACCCTTGGGAGCCAGGGTATGGACCTGAAAGAAGGGGACATAATTCAGATTATGATTATCGTAATGATTATGGAAGTAGTAGGTCACCAGATTATGGAGAACATCGAGATAATGACCATCGTGACAGGGATCATCGTAGCCCAGAATACAGAAATCATCGTGGCCGAGACAGAGACCGTGAAAGAGATCGCTCAAGAGACAGAAGAGATCGTAGCAGAGATGACAGAGATCGTAGCTACAGAGACAGAGAGGATCGTTATGGAAGACAAAGGGATAGAGACTCTGTAGAAAGAGACAGAGATCGGGATCGTGATCGCGATAGAGATAGAGACCGTTCTAGAAGAGACAGAGATAGAGATCGAGATCGAGATCGTAGAGGAAAACGGGAGGAAAGGGATCGGGATCGCGATGATGATCATAGCCGAGAAAGTATGGATTTTGAGCATGACCATGGACGTACTTATGGTTCGTCCATGGAAGGCATCCACTACAAATCTCAATCTCCAAACAACACCATAATGATTCGTGGGCTTGCTCAACATATTACAGAAAATGACGTAGGTTGTCAACTTAGCGGCCCAACATAATTGGCCACTCGTGAGCCAGCATTTGCAAGCATACATCACTGTTATCATTATGATGTGTGTATCACAGGTGCGGCAAGACATCCTCAACTGTGGTCTCATGCCCAAGGACATCAGGCTTATTCGTAAAAAGGATACAGGTAACTATCATTATTTTTGCAAATTCATTTCCCCTGAACCTAATGTGCGAATTAGTGAATTGCTTTTTATCTCAGCAAGTTGCATTAGATTTGTGTAGCATAAGTAATTGTTGCATTTTTAATGATCATTTAAAAAAAATTGTTTGAAGTTTTTAATACATATAGTACAAAATATATCCTTTGATCATAAACATGTGATTTTCTAGCTAGTTAATTCCAAGAAAATGCCACCACAATGTATATATGATTAATCGTTATATATTGATTTTGGCCCTGTATTAAGGGTAAAATAAGACTATGAGTGTGTGTACGTACATATATGTAAAATAAAAACGTGAGTGTGTGTGTATATCAAATGTGATGGTGGCATTGTCTTTAAGGTCAACTAATGAGAAGATCATGCGATCAGCGATTAATTAAAAAGATTTCAAACAATTTTTTATAACATTGTACAAACATCTATATTAGTATTATGTCGGTACCAATCATGCATACCCCAAAATTGTTCAATTGAATATCAATCATTAATTAATTTACTAATCTTGGAATCAGGTAAGTTTATAACAAGAACAGAACTTATTACATAGGAAGAATATTTTGAGGGAAATCAGATCATCATTATTCATCTTACAAGGGTGATGTGAAAATCTTTAAAGTCTGTAAAATCTGAAATAGTTGGAATATGAATCTACCAACCAATTTTATATATAGCGATTCTAGTCCCAAAATATTAATATAATTGTTATATTCTATTGTATGCATGCAGTGCATATAATAGAATATGCGATTCTTATAAAATATCAGTTTTATTTTTTCCAACATTGTTTATGCTAATAAGAATTGTATAAAATAGAAATTTTTGGAAGGGGAAGTATTTTCTATACAATATCTACCATCTTTTCTTTGATCTTCATGGTAGTGAAAATAAAGATATAAATGGAGGCTAGAAGATTTGGATAGGTCTGGCATTAAAGTAAACTTGTCGCGTAAAGATACCAAAGAAAAATCGTCTGTCACCCGTGTAGAATTCATTCTGCTGAGCTGTAGGCAAATGGAAATGAAAGCAAGCGACGAAGCGAAGAAAATACTTCGTTCGAAAGTCAGTCTGTCAATGGTTGGTGCTGTGATTGCCTGCCCTCTCAGAGTAGAGACTCCCAGGCAAAACGTGGATTAACTTTGGATATGTGTGTATTTGCTCTGTATAGGTGCTTCGCGAGGTTTTGCATTCGTCGAGTTTAACGCGACTCAGGAGGCCGCACGGTGGATGGAGATGAAACAGGTAGAAAGAAGTTCAGTCCAGATACCCAACCGATGCGTTGTACGCGTGCCACCGACGCCCCGTGGCGGCAAGGCACGGTAACGCAGCCCCTTGGCCTTCCCCATGGCCATGGCTGTGCACCTATCAAAGGCTACTTCAATCTACCGTACCTAATTATTTATCTAGGAGTCCCCACATACTTTGCAGACTTTTCTTATAACTCGCTCGCAATTCCGTCTATTGGATTATAAAAAGTTACATTATATTGAAAGGCCGCGACGCGTGCTTTTTACCTATCCTCTATCTATCATAAAAGTTTGTGGACTAACAATGAAGATCGGAGGAGGGTCATTCCAATCGTCTTATACATGCAATGCATATATTATATCCGGCATGTCAATTCATTTGTATACAAATCACATTTTGGCTACGTTCATAATATTAAATGCTTTCCTTTTACTTTATTATATTATTTAAGTCTGCTTTTACCATTTTAAACTTTATTCTCTCGATGCAATTATTCATTGACCAAGCATTTTAAAAGAATGACAATTTTTATGCACGATATTTCTCTTATTCACGTGTAAATTTGTATGCAAGCAAATCATCGTATGTTTGCTTGTTTCCACAAATTCGATTTTTCTTACAGAAAAAATAAATTTTCGCGCATGTACAAATATACATATAGTCGGTCCGCAAGTCGTGTGGAATGGCCCACGTTATAAAACTACATTTTCTTTATTATTCGTTCGAGACGGAAAGCTATGAAGTAGAAAAAAAAATATCTATAATTTCGTCACCCAAGAAGAAAGTTTACGGGATAAACAGCTGCTTTGAGAGGATGTTGAACGGGATAACACTGAAATTCTCTGTTTCAGGGAGTACTAATGCTGCAGGACCAATATCGTGCCTTGATGCAGTACAGTATACCGAAAGATTGTCATGTAGATAAACCACCAGCAAAAAATACCCAAGATTGGCATTGTGTCAAGGTAAATCTATTTATATGATTGTATTATTCATTTATTGTAAAATATTATGTTACACATTGTTATTTTCAATTTACAGTGCGGTGCACATAATTTCAAGAGACGGGAAACATGTTTCAAGTGTTCTGCTTCTCGAGCAGAGAGCGAAGAAGGTGGAGAAGGTAGCGATGAAATTAGTCCTCATCCTACGAACACTGTTCTACTTCGTGGATTGGACGTATTGACGACTGAAGATTCGGTCTTGCAGGCAATGAAAAATCTTTCATCAATGCCAATACGTAGCATTCGCATTGGACGCGATTCTCTCACAAATACATCGAGAGGTGTATGTTATTTAGAAATGGGCAACGTGGTGGATGCCATGTATTTACATACGGCCCTCACAAAACAGGGATTGGTTGTAGATGGTAGAAAAGTGGAAATTACTTATTGCAAACTTCATCAAATTAATAATACCAATACGTGGAAAGGAAATGACAACCAGCCACAAAGATATACTTTGGATGATGTTGCTCAATTAGCAGAGTATAGTGCTAATTTGTACGCTAAAACACCTGCACAAAAAGCTCACTACCTTCAGTATTATACACAATATTATCAGAATCAAATAATGCAGGGATCTGCAATTACTTTGCCATCTTTAAACCAGACTGATCGAGTGAACGCAGCTGCAGCTGTGGCACAGTCTGCGATACAACAATTACAAGCGTCTAGAAAATTAGGGGATTCTGAAGAAATGAAAAATAGACCAACACCAACGGCACCAACTAGTACTGCTTTAGCAAGTGGAAGAGTACCCGCACATGGCAGTGATGGTAAAATATATTGTAAGTTTTGCCTAATAACATAACTATAGATGACTTTATTCTAAAATGACCTCTTTACAGCTGTACCAGATGTTAGCACTTATCATTATGATGAGTCATCAGGTTATTATTACGATCCAAGTACGGGACTGTATTATGATCCTAATTCGCAATACTATTATAATAGCCACACACAACAATTCTTATATTGGGATGCTGAATCTTTTTCATACCAACCAGCAAAGGTAATTAGAATTTAGAATTTATTATTAATATCAAAATTTTGCATCTTTAGTTATTAAAAATTTTGTATATACAGACTGCTACAACTGTAACGCAGGCAACAGGAACGACTTCGAGTGGAACCACAATAACAGCTACAGCAAGTAGTGCAGATTCGACAAACACAATTACTAATCAAGCAACAACTTCATCAATTATTACCGCGATTCAAGAAACGTCGAAAGAGGATGAAGCCAAGAAAAAGGACAGCAAACAAGATAAAGTAAAAGTAGCAAAGAAAATAGCAAAAGATATGGAACGTTGGGCAAAAACTTTGAACCAAAAGAAAGAGAACGCAAAGAGTAATTGGAATTCTGAATTCGCTGGCGGTGATGGCAATCAAGGTGTTGGAAGCGGAGCTGCAGATGCAGGATACGCTATTTTGGAAAAAAAATCTCTTGCAAATTCTTATCATGAAGATGAAGATCAAAGTGGAAATAATGGCTTGGTCGCTGCCTATGGTGGCGGTAGTGATACGGAAGAAGAAATAGAAGATGTACAGCAAGAAGAAAGGCAGCATACAGATTGGAGTAAATTAGCATGCTTGTTGTGTAAACGACAATTTCCAAGTAAAGAAGCATTACTTCGGCATCAGCAGTTATCTGATCTTCATAAACAAAATTTGGAAAATTGGTATCAAGTACGTGGTTTAGATCCAAATGATCCACAACAAAGAAACAACAAATATCGTGATCGCGCTAAAGAAAGAAGAGCAAAATATGGTGAGCCAGAACCTCCACAACCTAATAAACTTAAAGAAAAATACTTAAAAACTAGAGTTGAAGAAATATCAGTATCGTATGAAGAACCAACAAGAGCTGGTATTGGTTCAGATAATGTTGGTAATAAACTTTTACAAAAAATGGGGTGGAGTGAAGGAATGGGTCTTGGTAAGTCAAACCAAGGTAGGACAAGTATCATTGAAGCTGAGAGAAGAGTTCCTACAGCTGGATTAGGAGCAAAATCATCATCGTATAGTGCTTTACCGGGGGACACATATAAAGATTGCGTAAAGAAAATGATGTACGCGCGTTATCAGGAGTTATCTGATACATAATACATTGAATATCAATGAAAATAGATTTTATATATAAATAAGTACTTGCACTCAATTTTTCATAGATAAATAGGTATGTAATATGCGTATCATCTGAATAATATGCTTATAGCATACTGGTCATTTAAGCGTGATAATTCATTCTTGGGGATATACGGTTTTTTTTTTTTACAATTTTTTTCCTCCTTTTTTGATTTTTACATTTTAGGATTTTTAGGAAATAGTATGAACTAGCTATTTTTATTATTATATATCTTTTCATTGAATCATAATGTTATTTAACGTGTTGAGAAATAAAAATGCTCTCAACTTTATCTGTGTAATCGGTTTGAAATTTATAATACAATAACATGTAATTAATTTAACAAAAATTAGATATTTAAGAAAGTACATATCCAAGAATGTATCACAAATATCAGTAACAAAATAACATTCATACACTCACTAAGTAATTTCCGTCTAACAATATGTGCACACATACACTACTTCTCGTAAACGGCATTGAAGCATTATGAAATATTTAAAAACAATTAATTTATATTATTTCGTTTGAATTTCATAATGTTTCTTTTAATAAAAATTAACATTCTTATGATCCAGTGCAACTAAACCATCATTGATGTATATCGTTACAATGTATTTATTACATTATATTGATTTACATTAAATTTCATAATTCTTTTATAATGTAATTGTCAATTTCACGTACGTGTGTAAATATATATATACATATATGTATATATAGAAAGCACTTTCTATATATACATATAGAGAGAAAAATAATTATACATTTATACTCGTACATCTATATATTAATTTTTCTGTTTATTATGATTTATTCTGTATTTTTGGAGATCGTACAATTTTCACTATACATAGACATTTCTACAGTCGCTCGTACACTTTAATCTTTTTTATTACATATGCTAAACTCATGTAACAAATAATAGGTTAATGATGAAAATAAAAGTATACGCGGCATTATTGCTTGCAATATACTCCTGCTCATTTTTGAACAATTGTTATATTTTATTTTCATTTTATTTATTTTCCGTTTTTCAAAATTGAAGTTTTAACATTTGAAACAGTATATTTTTTTATATCTTATATATAACTTTACAAATCTAATTCACCAATTTGAAGCAAGACTCAGAGTCTATAAACTATAATACTTTTTTAAAGAAATTTACAATTTTATGTTTTCTTAAATTCTTAAAACATATAGACATTAATATATTGTATTTTTTACACTTACACAAGTGAAATATTTTTTAATGATTCAAAATTTTTAATTCAATCACACTATATATAAACTCTAAATATTTTTTACATTTCAATATACATTTATCACATTGTCAATATTAAAAAATTAAATAAGACTAGTATGAGCTCAAGACTATTTAAAATATCCATTACGAGAATTACATTTTCGTGTAAGATTAGAAATTTTTTGGAACTTAACGTATCTTATATCTTCATTGATTTTAATATCAGAAGTAACTAACCTTATTTTAACTATAATAATGGTATATTTGTTCTTTTTTAGTTAATATAAATAAAATACTCGAAAATATAGAGAGTATTATTCAATTAAATTATGATATATTAAAAAAAAGGTTTACATAATTACACTAATATTTTGATATGTAAATATTACTAAAGGAAAAAATTACAATCTGTTTATATAAACGATTTTTGTACTATTAAATCTGCATTTGCTTAAAATAGCAAATTCTAAAGTGACATTAATTCAAACAGGAACATAATTAAAAAATATATTTATATCAGTTTTTTAAATATATTATATAATATTTAGAAAATAAATTATTAATAAAAGTTTTAAATCTAACTAGAATTTTAATATCATGTTACACGATATTATCGTTTCTTGTTTCTAAAAATTGCACTGGTTTTTTTCTAATTATATTATTATATTTTTGGTTTGACACAACAGAATATCAAAAGGACTATATTCTTTGATTTGTACAGAATTATATGAACATATTTGATAACATAAAAATGACATATGTACACTTAAAAGAATTTAATGGTTACAACCACTTCAAATAAAATTATGCCTAATTAAAATAACTTTATGAATTACCTACAAAATTATTACCAAAATTAATTTGAGTTTTTCAAGGCAAAAATAAATTATATGATTAATAAATTAAAGTGCAATGAACAGAAAATATAAAACATAAATTAAAATTAAACATCTGCTAAAATCCAAGAATATAGTGGCCTTAATTGATGATTTAGAACTCTGTATTCTAAATTACTAATTCCATCAGTATCATACCTTTTAGCACTATTCTCAAGATTTTCAAATCGAGCACTGCTTGGAGGTTCTTTGTTATGTATTAACATGTAATACTGAGCAATATCAGGACCAAAACGTGTAACCTGAAATTTAGCTTTAATGTAAAAAGATAATTTAATAATATTCTATACCACATAACAATAAACATACTTGAAGACCTTTTGATTGTAAACGACTATAAAAATCATCATCTTCTCCACCCCATCCATAGAAAACATTAGAGAACCCATTAACTCTTTCAAATTGTTTACGAGTTAATGCAATTGCTCCACCAAACAAACCACTATATGGCAAGTTGTAACGGAATGTATTTACACTTGAACTCATATGTCTGGGCATTTTAGTACAGGCATAAATGTTATCAGGATTCTGGGGTATTAAATCTATATCTTGAAAAATGAAGCAGTGAAAGTCATTCACTTTGGTAGCTTCTGCATATCCAACATTGAAAAGTTTAGCACGATTAAACTCACGCACTGGACTTTGTTCTATGACAAATATTCTATAATCAAGGTTTTGAGCTTGCAGGAAAGGATGAATATAATTCATGAAAATAGTGAGTTGAGTTTGACGATTTCTATATGGTAAAATAATGGCCACGTTGAAAAGAGGATGACAATTTAATGGTTTCCATTGCCCCCCAGGTAATATACCCAGACGCCGTGCCATTGCCACAGGATGTTCTCGAGGATGTTCCTCAGGATAAAGTAGCTGAGATCTTCGGGGATTGATTGTAATCGTACACGAATTGTCCCTCGTTGGATAAGATCTTTCCATTTCATCGTAAATATCTTCCGTTTTTATAAAAGTGTAATGTGAAGGAAATCTTGCCGGATGTAAACAATAACCCAGAATCAAAATCGTAATAATAGTGTACGACAATCCTCGTGCATAGTCATAAAAAAAGGCGACAAAAATTTTCAAAATATTAACAATAGTTCTCATCCTAACCTTTGTTTCAACTTTCAATCGGTATTGCATTCAAACAAGCGCGCTATGTTTCTTTTTCATATTACTTCATTTATTAGTTTCGTTGTTATATTTAATATAGTTCAAAATATCATTTTATAATTTAAATATAAGACTTAGAATTAAGTAATATCAATATAAATGTTTTTCGAGTATTATAATATGACAGTTAATTTTGAGAGAGAAGGAACAACTACAACACACGCTTGCGCCATATGTACCTCTTTCATGTAGAATCACAAACGAGGTACATTTAGAATAAATTTTACAGTTGATTCTTTCCCGTGATCCATGTTTTGGAGGTCAGTAGCTTAACTAATTAAAATTTTCTTATAGTTACTAGTTTTATTGTTGTCTGAGGTGAATAAAATATATACATATTTAGAGAAACAAGGAGCATTCTATTATACAACAAAGAAAGTAACAATATTCACTTGCACCATTTCACCGCTACGTGGCGTTTCATATCCATAATCGATTAAAATTTAATTTGTAAAAATATTAATTAAAAAAATTACTTATTTAATTTGTATTTGCATTTTCGTAGAAATTTTTTCAGAAATTATGATGTATTTGAAAGATGCAGTAACTTAAAGTTAATAAAAACTGTAATACTAATTTTTGCCGTAGTAAATTATTGTATAAATAATAAAATAAAAGTAATGTATGAAACATACATGAAAAATCTTAGATAGCACTCAAATTAATGTAAAATATATCTATTTAAATATAATTACATAAATGAGATAATTATTAATTTAAAAATATTAAAAATTAGAGTAATTGTGATCTCCACAAGGTTAATTAGAATCGCAACTTTCTCCTTTTTTTTATTCTAATTCTCATATTGTACATTTAGAAAAATTACTTATATACTTATATGATAGAAAAAGCTTAACGTTTTTCATTTATTATGCAAAAAATTTTGCATTTATATTCGATTAATCTGCATTCTACATATAATCTGAAATATTTAATTTCTTTATAGAAATATGGTATCTAATGAATGATTAGATTTTCATTTGCAACAAAAGAAACAATTAAGAGAATTCAATTAGGTCCACAATTTTCTTTTTATGTTACATTTAATCTGTTATATTCATGTTTATAAAAGTTTAGAAATTTTATTCAATAGAAAGGAACAGCTACTTGATCTCGCAAATTATATTCGAAATTATTCATGAACATGTACATGTTAGATGTACATGTTAGATACAATAAATTTAATGTACAATTTTGAATATGAATTTTTATTCAATCAACTAGTTAATACTTATTATATGTCCCAGTATTACGTATATATACAATTTACATACAATATATACAATTTACGTTATGCCAAATTAATTTATAAACTTTTTTCTATGTAAGTATAGAATTCAAGGCAGATTCTATAATTACATTCGTATCGCATACAAAATGCGATCCAGATTAAATATCCTAAATAAATACTTTAATTAGAAATTAGTATTTTTAACAGATATTGCTTTTGCTTGAATTTTAACAAGGAAATACAATATTATTTAATCTTTAGTAAAGCATTTATCAAGCTAAATAAATGAATTAACAAATAAATGAATATATCAGAAAATGTGCTGATGTTGTGATGAACGTGTACAGAAATTTGTATCGAATATTTTTATTAAGCACAAATCCGATTATAATTGTAAGTTATACAATTTCGTACGTGAATTATTGATTCCTGTGTCGTAGAATGTTACAACACTGTCTCATACAACATCCTTTTATAATAGCTAAAAATTATTAACATTATAAAGACATTTTACGGCCTTCAATAGATATATCTACAGCTCTCCTAGTTGCTTTTATTCTTTTACTATCCATGTAGTTTTTCATGTGCCTTTCAAATCTATTCATTTGTTTCTTAGTGCTCTGTAACATCATATTACTTACATATTTTGAAACATTAAATTAATAATTAATATAATGAAATATAAGAATTATTACTTACTCTGCTAATATCAACATCAGACTTCCAATCAGGTCTTATAACGTAATCTTTATTAGAAGGTCTAGGAACTCTAGCTCTTCCGACCCAACCCGGGTCTCCAGGTCTCAATGATCTAAAAAGAATTGATTTCATTATCCAAATAAAATTAATTATTTTCATATTAAGACTTTGAAAAATTCATACTTAGCATCTCCTTTTAACGCTTTATTAATATCTTGTGATTTTTGAGAAGAACTACCATCATCTGTTTTTCTTCGCTTTTGTGGTGTTTGTTCCAAATCTCTTTGCATTCTTTCTTCTTTTGACAACGCTTTAAAATCTGCTGATAAATTAAAGATAGGTCTTGCCCATTCATTAATTAATTTACCTGCTCGTTCTTTATTTTCTTTTGTTTCTTTAGGGTGTTTGTAGAGATACATTACAGCTTTGCCGATACCAGATTGTTTTAAAGAAGCTTGATCAATTCGTGGAAACTAT